CTGTGCATTCAACTAATCCCCCTCGCCTCGTCCATTTAATATGGCGGGGGGAGGTGGCCATACCGTCGGTATAGCCGTTTACGAATTTGCGTGGGAAAAAAAAAAAAAAAAAATTGAACTACCACCGCCGTTGCTCCTGCGCCTCCTATTTTCGTTCGTTACCTATCGACCGGGCTTTATCTATTTTTTATGCAATGAAATGCCCCGATACCAATGGCGGCGCGGCCGCGAGCGCGCCGCTCGCCATTGTACGACTTTGACGAAAATTCGAAATTACAGCGCCCCGGAAAAGAGGATACAGGCGCCCCTTTTATACAGAAAAATGGCAGCCAGAGCTGTTCGAATCGTTTGATAACTTCCACCGTTCTCGGGATTCCGCGTCGTTATACATTTTTTTTCTTCTTTTTTTTCTTTTTGGTCTTCCTTTTCCCTCCGCAGCGAGATTCTTCATCAACCGATTCCTCGTCCCCGGAAACTTTCGAATTATCTAATAAAAGCCTGTCACGGCAAATCGAAGACAGACGAGTTTGAAGTTTCTGAAAATGGAAGAGGGGAAGAAAGGAACGTAGCACTTAAAATCTCCTCTGGCAAAATGGTTTCATCATCGGTGGAAAATGGTGGCGAAAAGTCGGTCCTGGTCCTCGGCCAAGTCTTTCTCTCTCTGCTTGACCGTCGACTAGAGAGAGAGAGAGAGAGAGAGAGTGATAGAGAGAGGGGGGGACAGGGTGAAAAGGCTCGAATTTATTCATGGATCGTGTCAGCCCGTTAGACGGGAGGAGTCCTTTTTCGCGAATTAGTCGGGTGTCGAAGCTCTAACACGCTTAATCTGTATCCAACTATGGCGATACACGTTCCGGCATATTTCCATGCCATTATGCAAAGAGGCCGCGCGCCTGGGTAACATTACTTTGTACAACCGGCGTCGCCATCGACACACGCCGAAAGAGAGAGAAAGAGTGAGGGTGGGTGAGAGAGAAAAGGTGGTAAAGCACTGGGGGGAAGGGGGGGAGGTGGCCTGGTGCGTACTCCATCGATTTATTATAATTTAGATTGTCTTTCTAAGAAGCTGTCTGTACATGCACGTACGTATATATGTACATACATACGCGCGCGCGCGCGAGACGCGCCTTAATGCGCTGCCGTTCGTTAATTATTCCTCCGGCAACCCGTAAATATGCATGAATTATATATCGCGCGGTACGAACCAGCCGGGGATACGAGGACGAATGATTAATACACGCCTGTTTCTCTCTTTTCGTTGCCTCTTTTTTTTCCACCCCTCCCCCCCCTCCTTTCGGTTTCGCGTATTTTCTCGGGAGGATGTTCGCGGAGACGCGTCGCTGGCAAAATTGAAGATGTTTCCTTCGGGTTGATGGTCTCTCGAGTTTCTGTAAATAGAATTCTACAGACTTTTATCTTTCGCTTGTCGTGGCAATGATAAAACAGAAAAAAAGAAAACATAATAGTAACAATAATGAAGAGACAATACGTGTAATTTTGAAATCGGTACGGCGACAGAGAGGGTTAATAAAATGGCCGGATAACAGAGAACAGAGGTCCATCAGAGACCAGTAAATGGAATCAGCGGGCCATCATAGTTCGTGGAAATAAAATTTCGATTGGAAATAAAATGCGAAACAAGGATATTTTCTCCTAGCTGCGACGCGATAATGGCCTATAATTTTAATATAACGATCTGTTGAAAGAAAATAAAGGAGAGAGAGAGAGAGTTCTGTCAAAGACACGGACGCGAAGATAAAGTTACGGTCGATAGTGGAAAGTGTCACGTGTAATATAGCTGGTATCGGTAATAAGTTACGGTAAAAACAGAGGCGAATGCACAGCTAACGCAAAATCCGGTGGGGAATAATTGCCACAAATTCCAATCTTCGCCCCTCGCGCATTGAAACGCCGGTATCCGCGAGATTGTACATTCGCCGGTGGTATTTTAAGAAAATTGACAATCCGTACCGAGCCTTTGTGCAGCTTTGTAATCGTACAGGGGCAGCGGTATAAAAAAATATTCACCGGCTTGATTGCCAATATATCGTTGTACGGCGCTGATTGAACCAACCCTCCCCTCCCCTCTCCTCTCATGGTCGGTGGCGGTGCCTATACCACCGCGTCGGCTTGTTAATTTGGAATATCGCCGGCTGCACAATAGAAAAATTTCGCAACGCGAATTATTTATGTTTATATAATATCTCTCGTCGATATGTGGTGTACGTACGTATACACACGTACGTGCACACAAAGAGAGGCAGAGAGAGAGAGAGAGAGAGAGAGGAGGGAACGCGCTGGCAACATGCAATTTTTCGACGTTGGTCGTTTTTCGACATTGCCCCTCTCCCTCGCCCCTTTCGTCTGTGCGGTTGCACACGCGCGCGAAATCGTATTATCGCGGGAGAATTTCGTTAACGAGCTTCATTTCGCGAAAGAATCGCCGCGCTCACAAAAGAAACGTCGCGTTGGTTACGTCACGCGAGATATTATAAACCCGCGGGTTCGATTCGAGAAATCGGCGACGAACCTTTGTCGGGCTCCAGCGCTCGACACACGTTTCTGGGGACGCACAAAGTGTATATCGAGCGAACGGTCGACTTCGTTTCGCTGATTTTTCTATTCGTCGATGATTCGTCGAACCCGCGCTACGGGTTTCATTGTTCCTCTCCCCTTTTTTTTTTCTTCTCTCTCTCTCTCTCTCTCTCTCTCTCTCTTTCTCTCTCTCTCACCCCAACCACCTCCTACACCCCTTATACCCTATCGAACGGCGTGTGTGTCTACCACCATTATATCGTAGCGAAGCATTTTAACGTCGGCCAGTTGGACCGTGAATGATTATTAATCAATTTTCAGCGTTAAACGTGCCGCCGCAATAAAAAGCGTGGTACGTTAACGAACCACGCGCGTATAATTGAGCATTTTGGCGAGAATGATTGCGAGCCCCGATGCTAAAACCTTTGCGCGTACCCGTTTCGATTGATTTCGGCCAGCAAGGAGAGGAGAGGGGGGAAAAAAAGTCGGGCACGGTGCAAGGGAGAACGTGATGAAAGGGGTTGAACCGGACGACTTGTCCGGCGCCTCGATTTTTTAGTTTTTAGTCTGTTCACGGCTGAAAAGCCACCGTCGCACGTTGCACGTGGGGCGGTTCTTGCACGGGTTATAATCGGTTAGAATGTCGGGCGAACAGGTCTCTTCGGGCAAGTTTCTTCGATGATGGAAATTTCATCGGACAGAAGCAGGATTTCGAAAGTGTTTCGTCTCGTTCCACCCACTGTACGCAGTTTGTTACGTATTCCCGTTGTCGAAATCTGGCGTTTAAATATAATTAAACGAATTCGGATAATCACGCGAATTACGTTAATGCAATTATGCCGGAATTTCACTGGCATTTCACCAGTGTTTACGAAACGCCTCGGTAATAAAAAAAGAGAGAGAGGGGGGGGGGAGAGAGAGGGAGGAAAAATCGAACGTATTTAATTCAATTTCCAAATTGCATTTAAAGATCTTTAGATATCGGCGCAAACAATATCTTCGCCCCGAGGCTAATTAAACGTAAAAACGTCAATCACCGTCCGTTCAGAAGTGACTTTAATCTAACTAATTAGCGGGCTTTGTACGTATCAAGGGCCAGCGGTGTCAAATTGTGGTGTGCAAAAGAAGAGAATAAATTCAGTGTTCACCTTCGTGTTCTTGTGCTGGAAAGTTACTTTTAGTATGTCAGGCTGCTTACGCAACGGGGAATTAATTATATCGGCGGGACGCCGGTAGGGGGGAATCGATAATTTAAAAAGTTGGACGTATTTCTGGCTACTCGACGAGCGTCATCGAAAGTTGGGACGTTTATCGAATCCCCTTGGGGTAGGTTCAGTCCGGCGATCGCGTCCACGTTGTCCTTAAACAGGTAGAAAGTTGAAAGTTTGCCCGGGGTTTTGCCTGACCTTCGTGAAATAATCAGCCCACAGTATCAAGCGGAACTCTCTTCAAACAACGCGCGCCCGCTTCAACTGCTTTCCTCCACGGAGTTTTTATCAACGCGATAACCACGCTCGTTTCACGTTCATCCCCCTTATTACGCGTCGCTGGAAAATTATAATCGCGCGGGGGCGGGTGGGGGGGGGGCAGCCTGGCTGAAGCTATCGATGCACTTTCTACTTTTGAATTTTTTAACGCCAAACGAACTTGGCGAAATACGATCGATACGGCCGAGCCGTAATTTCGACGGAGATATTTTTAGACTTGTGAGAAAGAGACTTGTGTTTCTCACGCGCTCGCCGTTTCGACCATCTTTAGTACAAGATTCGACGAGGATTTTCGAGTGACCTGGCGATTGATCGAACGTCAGAAAGTGTTTTTCTCGCGATTCGATTAAAGGGAAATGGTCGACAGGCAAATGTTGATATTAACGATATCAATTCCCTTAACGAGGGCCATTAACATTTGGGCAACAAAAAGTTCCGGAAAGCCGGAAAGCTGGAAAGGCGTGGAGGAAAATTTGCGACGACGCATATAGTCGAAAGCACTTTGTTCCCAGCGGCTGCGGCGGCGGCGGCGGCGGCGGCGGCGGTCGAAATATTTTATAATTGTTATCAATACGGTACAAATGCGAAGGGGTTTCAAACGCGGCGTAATAAACGAAATAAAGTATCGCCATTTTCGCCGTTGACAGAGCGCGTTGCTTCGGACTTTTCGGCCGTGTTTCCACCGGTGCCTCTTCAATCGTAATTAATATTTTTTCCCGACGGCTGCTTTTTTCCGGCTTTCGATAAATTTGACAAAAAAAAAAAAAAGAAAAACGGCAGGGAGAAAAAATTAAAACGAAAAAAGCAGCAGCTCGATCTCGTTGCACGGCCAAGCCCGTGTCCGTCATTTTGTTTTCCACGTCCGCCCGCTCTCCCCCCTCTCGACGATCGAAGCGCAGAATTTGTAATTCACGATCGACGTAAGTTGCAATTATGCAAATCACCGTAACTCACCATTTGGACGCGCATTTGTTACAGGACAGCGACAGGAGTAGCGTTGGCAGCCCTGAACCAGTGGCAGCCATCACCGGCACGCTCCATGAACATCAGATGATGATGGATGAAATGAAGAACTCGCGGAAGAACAGCCCGTCGCCAGAAAATCTGCCACAGGCGAAACGGGCCGCAGTGGCGCAAGCGCATCTCAACGGGACGAGTAAGTTGAGAATCCGATTTGACGATTTCGATTAATTTGCCGCGAGAGTGTCGCGGAAAGATCGAAGTGTCGATGGATTTCACCGCATTGTGTTGTATTTTTTTGTTGTTGTTCCATTCAGTGGCAGGCATGGTGACCCTGCAGAACCTTCAGAATCTAGCGAATCTGCAAAACCTGCCGCAAGTCGCGTCGCTGGCCGCGGGTCTCCAGGGAATGACAGCGGGACTGACTAACAACCAGCTCATCAACACGCCCCTGAATCTCACTGTCAGCTCCTCCGGTAGGGATACAAGCGGTCATTGTACAGCTCGACACGGGAGAAAAACTTTTCAATCGCTTCGATTATTGAAAATCCTTCCTCCGTCCGTGTTCAAACGAGGCGCCTTTACGTCGCTAAAAATAAACGCAGCGTGGCTTCGTGTTGCTTCGCGTAGCTAGAGTTAAAGTTTCAAAGAATTGCAGATTAAAAAGAAAAAAAGAAACAAGAGCTTGATCGTAGATTATTTTGGCAATTTCTTTCTTCGACTGTACGAAATTCGGATTATTTATCAAGAAAAATATGGTCCAGACGACGGGGAATGAGTTAGATCGTCAGATTCTTCTTTCAGCCAATGACTTTTCACGTTCAGGTGGCACGGTACCAACAGCCTCGAACACGACAGCTGCCCCTCATCTTCTGCCGCCGAGTTCGACGCCAATGGCGACATTACCTCAGCTATTATCTCAGCCGCAACCGGTCGCGATGCCTCAATTCATCCTAACGTCCGGTCAATTGGTTCAAGGCATTCAAGGGGCTCAGCTTCTTATCCCTACGTCGCAAGGTGAGCCTTCTTGTTTCTTATGTGTCTTCGCGCCCTTTCAGCTCTCTCTCTCTCTCTCTCTCTCTCTTTTTCTCTCTCGAAACGAGCGTTCAACGACACCCATTAAGAGCCTGCTGAGGTTCCTCCAGTCCCGTCGAGCAAGCCTCGCTCGCGTTCAACGCGTCACGTAAATTGATTGTCCGTCGAACCCTTTCACAGAGATTTTAACGATTTGATTTCGCAGGCTATAGACAGATTCTTAGAGAGAGAGAGAAAGAGAGAGAAAGAGCGTGAGTTTCATTTCAAATAACGAGTGGAGAATCGTAGTGTCTCGAGATATTCGGAATAATATTTTTGTTATCTGAGAAAGATTGTAATCTTTTATTTTTTTCTCTTTTTTTTTTTTACGAGCGACGATTAATTTCCAATCTCTCGATATTCTTCGCTGTTCCTTTTTCCAAACTCATCGAGCATCAAGCTGTGTCGCGGGCCCCGAAAAATATTCGAGCTAATCGCTGCCTCACCTGTGAAATTTAATTAAACGACGCGCAAGAGGTAGAGCAAAAGATAGATAGATAGATAGATAGATAGACAGACAGAGAGAGAGAGAGAGAGAGAGAGAGACGTCTGATAAAGGAAAGAGGGGATTCTCCGTATCCCGTAGCTATCAGTAAACCAACAAGAAATCTCCAACAATAACCCTCGCACTAAGTACCTTCGAATTTCGAGGCATAAATCAGTCCGAGTGGTCTCGTCGTGAAATCTGCACGATGTGCCGGTGCATAATATTGTGCAATCAAGATGTGCCAATGTATATTATATACATATACTTATATACATTTTACATATATACGCGCACACACACACACACACACACACATTTATACACACAGACACACATACGTACATATAATATATAATATCATATCGACTATCTCTAACCAAAGCTCGGACCAAGGTTCGCCCCGTCGTCCATACTTAGTGGTCCTAGACTAGCCTGGCGAGCAGAGGGCAAACTCTGCAACTAATTTCAATGTATAATTAACGTCTCACTACCCCTTTCCAGACCCACGAATAACCACCCCCCGCCTTGCCCCCGAGTCCGTCCCCACCGTACCCTAACCCTCCCTTACCACTCTCTCTCCCTCCTGGCTGGACATCACAGCTCCGCGGATTCGGCCGCTATTATATCGATTGCGGTTCGCGCTAACTTCGTTTCTACCAAGTTGGGTTTCTATTCTGGCAATTGAGAGCGAGAGAGAAAGAGGCGAGCCGGACCGAGCTGGGCTTCGTGGAAGAACGAAGGAGGACAGGTGAATACAAGGGTGATACGAAGAGAGAGAGAGAGAGAGAGAGAGAGAGAAAGAGAAAAGGAGATGAGACACTGAAAGAGAGAGAGAGAGAGAAAGTGGTATAAGGGTGGGTGAAGAGGGGCGGCGAGAGAACTTTGCGAGTCCGTCTAAGTGAATTGAAGTTCGTGGATATGGACCACGTCCGCGGTAGGATGACGAGTTACGTGGTGGCAAATAATGTTTGCACTGCTTTTCGGCACAATCGATGCTAACTGACTAATGCTCGATTGATTCGCTCCTTTAGCGTTTAGCTTGAAGTTGACTTCAGCGAGCCAAGGAGGAGAACTGTTTGACGACACACGCTTTAAATATACACGGTGTTTCGTAACTTGTGGGAGGCCACAACGAGAGCTGATTGTACGCCTGAAAATAATGAAAAAAAGTCATATAAATATATACGTCCTATCTGTCTTCGTTTATGAGATAGAATGAATTTTCTGTTTTAATTACTTTTACAAAAGATGCTCGAAATGACCACGTTGCATTTGAAGACAAGCCTGCACGCGTCTTGTCATTCATCTGGTTACTCTTTCTATCATTCCTGGTGTTTCTCGAATTTGTNGGATTCAAATCCGGAGAACGAGCAGGCCATGCAATAGCACCTCCACGACCAATCCATTTATTTGCAAAGTGTTGATTTAAATATTGCCTAGCCACTCGGCTAAAATGCGGCAGAGCTCCGTCATGCATAAACCGCATACGAAGTCTAATATCGACTGGAACTTCCTCTAATATTTCGTGTAAACGCGTGCTCAAACAATCAACGTACTTTGTGCCTGTTAGTTTCCCATCGAGAAAAAAGGTCCAATTAAAAATTTATCAATTATTCCTGCCCATACGTTTAAACTAAACTGGTGTTGATGTCTTGAATGCACAATAACATGTGGGTTTTCTTCATCCCAATTATGATTATTATGAAAATTGAATGTACCATCCTTGGGTAAAAAACTAGCTTACTAGAGTTTGCTCTGTTTATAAAATTCATTATATCTCACAAACGAAGACATATATTTATATGACTTTTTTTTCATTATCTTTAACACCCTGTATGTCGTAGTAAATAACCGGACTCGAACTTGGCTGTTAATTATCGTTTCGAATTAATTTTACTCGAAATTTCGAGCGAGGTGCGTCTGCGAAATTCTCATTTTCAGTTCGTTCGTTTTTGAAGGCCGTTGAATTCTTCAAACGCCAGAGAAGAAACGACATTTCTGATCGATGTCCCGGAGACATTTTTTTTTTTTTCTTTTTTCAAGAATATATATTTCGAGGCTCGACTCGAGCTTCGGTTAAAAGGGAGGGATTTAGCGACACAGAAAATAGAGTAAGGACGATTAAATATGTATCACTCATTCTGCTTAACGACTCGTTCGACGTATTGAACTTTTGCGCCAATTTTCTCCGGAGATATATATCCCCGAGGGAGGGATCGCGATGAGGTACATCCACGGCGAATAATTTTACAAATCGGAATAGCGATTGAAAGCAATAGTGACTGAATGTTTTATAATCGCGAGGTAGTAGGTCATGAGGATACGGATCATTGGCAACGCAAATAACATTGGATACTTTAGAATGCTCGTTCAAGAATAAGTTTGCAAGTAAGGCTGTGTCAGGCCTTCAATGCGCCGGCTATTCTCGTCGAGAAATTGAAGAATCTTGAAAAAGGCAAGGGTCACGAGTGTAAAGTAAATCTCGTTCCACGACCGTAAATCGCCTTTTCGATTCGGCTAATCTTGCCGACGTAGTCGATGCTTCGACGTCGAACGACAATTTGTCTTGTCTCTCTCGGTGTATAAGTTATCGTGCTCGCCATGTTGGCAAATCTTAACAACCGAGTGTTGCGCATCGTGATCAACTTCCCTTTGTAAACCACGAGTTACGTATTCCCTTTTAGTCGTCCCTCGTTCTACCGAACAACACAGAAGTTTAAACACAGAATCCGAGAACGAGATTTTTGTTTTGTTCTCTCATCGGTGCGGTGAGAAAGTGCGAAGAGAGCAAATGGGAGAGAAAGTTGCCTGACGACGACACTCGGAAATAAAAAGAACACGCGTTTCCACGCGAGCGTATTATCGTCAAATATCACGGAACGGAACTAAACGTTAATCGGATTGTCAGTTGACCTTACCTCAGAACGTGAAACTTTTATGGCTGTTCGGAATACGAGATTTGCTTAGCTTAGCTATAGGTACCAACACGGGTACGTACTCATGATCAGTAATCATATTAAGCGCGTGTACAGGGTAATCAGATTAGCGGAGCTGGAGGTAATCCCGAAACTATTCTAAGTATGATTAGGCGTCCTTCTCGCAGCCTAGCAGTCCAGTGCCAGTACCTGTACCCACTATTAAGATGACGATAATAGTTTGCCAACTACGCTGGCCTGCGAGGTTACCTGCCCTATGGGTTGCCTAATAATCCCTCTATGAGACTCTGATAACTTTACTACCCTTCCTGGATCAACGACGCGTGGACTACGTTCATAATGGAAATGAAGTATCTATTGATTCGAGACACGTTCGTACGGTGGGATAGGCCACAGATAGAATTATCAAGCTACGTCCCCCGCCCCTATATCCAACCCCCCCCCCCCTCCCCACATTGCCCTTTATGGCTGTTGCTGTTAAACCTCACGACGCCCAGCCCCCCTCCGGAGGATTAACTTTTCTTTCTCTGTTCTCTGCTCCTCGCCTCTCAGGAATCGCTACGCAAACTATCCTGACTATACCCGTCAGTCACGTCACGAATAACCAAATGGTGAACTTGGCGCTCAGCAACGGCCAGGTCGTGTCCACCACCCTGGCGAACCTTCAGTCCATCGCGCAGCCACAGAACATGCTGAACACGCCGACCAGCAACGGTGAATTTACAGGTAAGACGATCTCGTTTAGCTTAATCTTCGGCAGCAGATTTCGGGATACGACCCGCTCTTTGAAATTTTTATTAGATAAATTTGAGAGAGAGAGAGAGAAAAAAGAAGTTGGTCGCTTCGATAATTCGATCATTAACGCTAGAGCTATCTACCTAAACGACCACGAGCACGAAGCATAAAATTTCCATCAGAGACGTTATAAAGTGAAAAAAAAAAAAAAAAACAGAGGAGCTCTAGTGGTTACCATGCACGAGCTTTCATTTATTTTATGAAAAATCACTCTGATCTTTAAAAAAGAAAAAAAAAAAAAGAAAAAATATACTGCTTTGTATCAACGAGAAATTATAAATTGGTCACTTTGTCCTCTTGGTTGCCGGCACGCACGTCGAGAATTGTTTTTGTCCGAAAATTGCAATATTTTCTCAATTTCAAGTGTATTTGAGCATAACTCGGACAATTGTCACTTCTCAATAATTTTTATCCAGCGATATCGTACCGACACAAATTAAAAAAGAAAGCGACCGAATTATTGTATAACGGTTTGGTCACTCGTTATGGTCCGCAATCATGTTGCCAGCGCAAGCGGCCAAAGTAGTTGAAACGGGAAAACGATAGAGCAACGTTAAACAGAGATGGAACGTTAAACAGAGATTTGTTTTCTGTATCCGCGCGACAGTTCCAACAAGTCCCAGCTTGGCGTCGGGACTGGGGCTGAGTCCCGCCGCGTTGCCGCACCTTCTCAGCAACAGCTCAGCCAGCCAGCAACTTCTGAGCGCGATGCAGCCGCAGCAACTGCTTCAGGCCGCTCAGGCCGCTCAGGCACAGGCCGCGCAAGCGGTCCAGGCGGCTCAAGCGTCCCAGCAACCGCTTCTCACGACGTCTCCTCAACATCACGCGCACCGGCACATGAATCATTACACGGTGCGTATCACACACCATCGTCAGATTGTCGCCCGCTGAATAATTCACGCCTTTTTCGCGTCGCTTCCCGCGGGAACACTTGGAAAAATTCGCGCGACAATGGAATTTCGTTATTTTCCGCTGGCAAATTGGATTATCGTGCGAGCCATTGGCGACCAACTCGCGGTTAATACTAATCGGTTTCGTTATTTAATCACGCGGGCGTAATTTACGTATTTTAGCGAGTCGCTTTCATCCAAGGAACGCAACTTCGCCAAGCGATTAAAGATTCCATTCAACGGAACGTGTCTGGCGGATTTTATGAATATTTGACTCGCGACATTGAAAATTATCCCCACGCAGGCTCTCCTCGGTGAACCTCGATCGATCCGGATAGTCAAACGTTTCGCTCGTTTGCTTCGATTAACGGAAATGGGACGAATCCAGGAATTTTGATTTACCTTGGCTTCGCCCGATAAACAAAGAAACTCGGAGTTCGAAACTCGCGCGTACGGCGGAAAGAAACGGCGGTCGAGGGTGGAATGGGGTTAAAACCGTCGCAAGATCAGCGGAACAGAGCTGAATAATTCCACCGATGGCGAACGATCTCGTTAAGAAAGTATTTCAGCGGCGGCGGCGTTTCTTCCATTAATTAGACTCTAAAATGTCTCGAATCCGCGTGAGTGAGAGGGAGAAAGAGCGTGAAAGAGATGGGAATAGGGCGAAAGAAGGATAGAACGAGGTCTCATTATTAAGTGCATAATTGGCGTGGAAGAGAAGCATGGAGCATTGTCGTTGATACTGGTTTGAGCTACTAATTCGTAACTAGCAATCTCCCTCCCTCCCTCCCTCCCTCCCATTCCCCCTACCACTTCCCTCTTGTGTCCTACTCGCAGCCGACGGAGAAACATCACAGAGAGAGGCCCGAGCAATCGTCGCCTTTGAACGAGTCCGTGGTGTCCGCGGCCTCGGCGCTCAACAGACTGGCGGCCAGCAACGGGGAAATCACGATCACGACCACGCACGGGCCCAGCGGCGCCGGGGTGAAGGCCTCGCCGAGCAGCATGCACAATCCGAAAAAGGAGGATGAGGATCTCAATGATTCGCCTAGTAAGATCATTCCTTCTTTCTTTCTGTCTTTCTTTCTTTCTGTTTTCGCAACTCTACTCGATTTGGAATTTGTTTCCTTTGACACGACACAGAATCAGAAGTGACTGTGTTGATAGTGGACGATTAGACGGTAATAGTCTCGATAGACGAAACGTCTCGTTGGAGAAAACGAGCGTGAAAGTTTCAGCAAGGATGTCGTTGAATCATTCACCGAGCAAACTCGTTTCATGTTCCCACCGGCGGTGGTATTACTCGGCAATTAGACGTGCGAACGATCGAAACGAGTATCGATCGGAGCGGAGTCGAGTCTTTTTTCAACAGGACCACCAGGAATAGTCCGGCGGAGGGATCGATTTGCTCGTTTTCGACGCGAGGACGTTTCAATCCGACACAATCCGATAATCACGTTACAATAGGGAACGGAATGGGGGCGGGATCGTTTATTTAGCAGGGAGTAAAAATAAGAGGGAGCCGTTATAAAATTAAACGAAATTTCTCTTACTCCCGAGGAAACGATACAACATTTAACGCACGGTCAAAGCCGATAAATAATACTGTCGGCGGCTCCAGCGTCGCGCCGTCGAGCTCTTAATAATCCTAATAGGATATCGTACAATGCACGCGGCTCATTACGGTGTATTAGATCATTGTTGCCTCGATGCCTTCTCGGAAGCCATAAAGATTCACCGGCTGCACGTAACGCTCGCGACGCTTCGCGACGAGAGCCGACGGCAGACAATAATTTTAATAATTCACAATCATCGCTCAGAGCGAATGCGCTTGTCGGACGTATCGAGCCTAACGATTCTCAATTGCCAGCCGGTGGGACGCGGTTGTTTGATAAATCTGCGTCTCGCTCTTAACCTATCTCGCGCCGATATCTTTGAGTCGATGATTCGTAAATTTAAAAATGGATGGCTGGATGACCGTTCGTTTACTAGCGCGACCAACAGAGAATAAAGCAGAGAAAATTTTCCAATTACCAATTCTCTGAAAGTTCTTTTCTCGTTTCTGCGAATTCTCGAAAATATCCACGCGTTCCTTGAAAGTGAGACAAGGATCTCTAGTGGCGTTTTTTTGTCCGCCACCGGTGGTTCGATTGCAGAAATTAACGATCGCGGAGGAAGGGCCCGCGCGGTTTATTGCATGTGGGTACCTCTATCGCGTGCGTGTGCGTCCGGGGTCGACAGATTTACGAGTGAAATCGGTGTAGTTGAAGCTGCTTTAACGAAGCCGCCTGATCGGTGTCGTTAGACTTTAGATTTCTCTGCTTCGCGTGCGATATCGATCGAAAATTATCCATCCGATCGGAACCGACCTGAAACAACTATCCGACTAACGATCCATCGACTCGTGAATTAGTCTCATGATCACTTTACTTTCCTTTCGGGATGTTCTTCTTTTGTCAAGAGCCTAAGAGAGAGAGAGAGAGAGTGAGAGAGAGACCACCAATGGAAAGATTCCTCAACTATAATTGCAGATCAACCGACGATCAACGAGGCGACGAACAACGTGGTCGATGGGATCAATCTGGACGAGATCAAGGAGTTCGCGAAGGTGTTCAAGTTTCGCAGACTGTCGCTGGGTCTGACGCAGACCCAGGTAGGACAGGCCCTGAGCGTGACGGAGGGGCCAGCTTACAGCCAAAGTGCCATATGCAGGTGAGTGTACGACCGTGGTCGTCCGTCGTGTGTTCTCCTCTTGTTTTATTCATTATTTTTCTATTATTATTATTTTCCTTTACATCATTCTTACTACGACGAGTAACTTGAAAACGGACGTCGCTGATGAGACACAGAAATGGAAAACAAATGACACAGGTGTTTTGATACGACAGTGTGCCAGGTCACTGGAAATGGCCGGGAAAAAAAACAAAAAAAAAAAAAAAAACAAAAGTTCCCTGTCCGACTGCTAACAATCTTGATATATATACATTTCTAGACTACGCTGAATCTCGATGATGTCTTCTTTCCTTTCGAGAAGTTTCGGAGGGGGCTAAAAGGGACTTTATTTATTAACGCAGTTGAAAGTCGCGTCCTTTTGTTCCGTCCTACGTCTGAATTAAGTTGGTCGCTCGATCACTGTGAACGAAATCCTGACTCTCGTTCGCTGCTCTCTTTCACCTCTCTTCGTCTCTGCTGATCTCTTCCGCTTCGTGTTTCTCTCGAGGAAAAATACGCAAAGAGGCAAACGTCTGTTACGTACTGTTTTCTTTTTCTCTTTTTTTTTTTTTTCCTTTGTATTTTTAGACTTTCGCATCACGATAAAGAGAGTGAAAATGGCAACGCGAGAACCAGTCCCAGGCAGCCACAATTAATTTTGGACCGTGACATTCAAATGAAAGAGAGAGAAAGAGAGAGAGAGAGAGAGTCAGTCGTATTCGTATCGCGTATGCCTCGATCGTGTTGCACACGTTTTACAGATTCCGAGAGAGAACGTCATTGAATTTTCATGTGATCGTACTCTGTGAGAAATGTATAATGTGTATAATATGCCACGGTGGTTCCTGAAGCCCTCGCGTTTCACTTTCAACGACAATTGTGATTCGTAAGAGAGATCGGGCGTGACCGTTTGACCCCCATCTCGACGAACGGAATCGAGAATCTTTTCATTTTTTTTTTTTCGAGAAAGAACGTAATCGTAAACTAGAGCAACGAAAGGAACCACGGTGGTAATGCTGGTGGCAAGTAGAAACACTGTTTCTACATCCATATAGTATTGTTATCGTAACGACTAATTTAAGCATTGGTGATTGTTCCCCAGTGCCCTGGCTACCCAGATGTACGCTGCCTCGCAGATTGCCTCTCAGCAGCAAGCTACGTACGTTCACCCCTCATGCTATTTAATTTACCTAAAAATCTAAAATCTTTTTCAAATCCTCTTGGAAGCATAGCAGTTATACCCAAGCATGTGAATTCCGTCGTACACTTGGTATCGTCGTCGTGTGCATTATGTGAAAAGTGCGTACGAGTAGCTCGGAATGAGGTTCATCTACCTTTCTTTTATCTGTCTTTTTTTTCTCTCTCTTTTTTTTCGATCTCTCTTCAGTTCGCTCATGCAATTAAAAATTGACGTAGGGACCAAGCGTTACACCGCGCGCTCGTACTGCACAACAGTACAGCGAATTTATTCATTTCTATCGCCCCTGATCTCTCCTCTGATTTTTTCTTTTCTGTCCGACGTCTGTCGATCTTCCCCGTGCTCGTTTCTCCACGTGCTTCGCTAGACGAAACGTTTGACCGCACCACTGTGTGTCTTAGTGACATATGGGGCATATTTGGGTATAGCTGCAAACGCACTATCACTAATTTCTAACTCCGTCCTCTGGAAAGAAAAAGAAAGAAAGAAAGAAAGAAAGAAAGAAAGAAAGAAAAAAATTAAAGAGAACCAATAGTAAAAGAGTAATGATGAGATGCGAAAGGAGCACTTCTGAAAGTTAACGATTTCTTCGAGCCAGGGCATTGGCAAACTTGGGCATGATGTCGCCAACGCGCGAGAACGCAAGTTGCAAGAAATCGCGGAGATCGACGTCCGTCGACGAGAGTGTGTTCCTTCATTTGGACGATCTTTGTCTTCGTCCGCTGTTCTTTTCTTTTTTTTTAAAAATTTTTTTTTTTTCTACCTTTCTTGACTACTCGTTTACAAATTGATTGTCCGCCTAACTTCACGAAGTTGGTTCTGCGCCAGAGTCGCGGATGAACACTCAGCTCTCTCGAAGCGCGTTGGCAACATCATACACGGCATCACCAAAACCTTTAAGCATGCACGCATTGTCAATGTCCTGTTTTTGAGTCGATGCATGCCTTTTAGTGCTCCTTTAGTCGAACAAAGACGAAAAGAATTACGGAACAATTCAGTATGCTGCCGATCGCTATTTTCATCGAACGCGCTTTCTTTTTTGTACAATTGTAAATAAATGTGTCTTTACGTCTTTGGCGTGGGAAGTGCGATTTCTTTCTTCTTACACGCGAGTTTTCATCCTCTACACACGAATCACTGACGAGAGAACGAGAATCATGACTTGTTGTTGGCTCTAGATTCGAAAAGTTGGACATCACGCCAAAGAGCGCGCAAAAGATAAAACCGGTCCTCGAGAGGTGGATGAAGGAGGCCGAAGAGAGGTGAGTCGCACTTTTTAAACTATTATAAACGTCAGCTTGCGCGCGTCCGATGTACGTGTAAAATTCCAGAATGACCGAATTGAAAATTCCTCAATTATGTAAATATTCGGCCATTTCAAATTCCATTTCTGAGAGAGAGAAAAAAAAAAAAGAAAAAGAAAAAGCAACTGAGAGCAGCTTCTCTCTTCCAAGATCGTCGTTTTTAACGATTATCGAACGATCGCTCCGACGAAAGATCGTTCGAAGCGATCGCGTGCGTGCTGATTGGTAATTTGCTAATTGAATCCGGCTGATTAATTGCGGATTCGCGTCTAATAAATACGCGGAATGTTAATTAGAATGGAGGGAGACACCGTTAGCTCCCCAGGCAACTCACCAAGCCACCGCCGGTTTTAATCGTGTCGCGAAAGAAGTCGACCTATCGACTTCCTCCTTCGAGGTATATCGGTTTTGCACCGACGCACACCCACACACCGACCGCCCACCACCGTGCGCTGTATCACAGGATTTTGTAATTAGCGAAATTCGATGTTTGCTGCTCATAACGAACGGTCGGCCGATTTATCTCCCTCGCCGCGGCAATTTTTACGAAGTTGTTCGACTCGCGTAGATTTCTTAGTGTTGGGGTTGTTTAGTCGAATCGAAATTGAATGGAAATGAGGGCGATTTATTTCTGAATGCTGGCGATTTCAAAAATATTTCAAAAATATTCCCGCCGGAAGCGACGTAATTCTGGCGAATGAAGCGTCTCGGTTAACTTTTCAATTTAATGCTGCTCTGGCGAAGAACGATAGCTCGTTAATACCGATAAATATATCTAAGAGCGTCAGTCAATCGAATTTTACGAGTCGATGACGTCTAACACCGGTTTTACGGTTTCGATTTCACCGCGATGCTGTTTTATTGTCGGGCAAATGCGCGGAAAGTATATACACGCGTGTTGCATGTAAAAGGGGACACATATAAACACGTAGGAATACAGCGAGCGTGTTATAAAACATATATACATATGTATATGTATGTATGTATGTATATATATATATTTATATATATGCATATATGTATGTGTGTGTTGGTGGGGTAGCGTATCGAGGTACGCAGCATGTATCTCGACCGTGAACCGGATGATTCGATGACAGGAGCACGCGGTCATTTCTCTTTCCGCGGCCGAGCCGGCAACAATGACCCATTCCGCATTCCCGTGGCGTAGCATCAACAGATTTTCCCAAAACGAACAAAATGATTTGTTGACTGTGCATTAACACCTTCGCGCGACGATACAGCGAATCATCCCCCGCCCCGGTGTTATTGGCCCGGAATCGTTTCCCCGTTTAATGACTCGTTTCTTGATTACTCGTTCGTTCAAAACGAAAAGCGAAAGTTTCTCTCCGATTCTCTCTTCCATCCAGGTGTTGTCCCGTTGCTTCGTAGTAGAACGTGACAACACGTTCGATCGTTTAACAAAGTGTTTCTCTTAATAGAAAAAAAGAAAATACATGCGTGAAATGAATCGTGTGTTGTTTAACCACTTGCGCTGGCAGCTGATTGCGGACCGTAACGAGTGACCGACACCGTATACAATGATTCCGTCGATTTCTTTTTCTTTTGAGCTCGTCGGTATGACATCACTGGATAGAAATGATTGAGAAGTGATAAACTTGTCGTTTGTTTTGCCAGCATTACATTTAACTACACTTAAAACTGAGAAATTGTTGCAATTTGGTACGAAAGATTCTCAACGTGCGTCGTTCCAGCATTTTCGACTCGATCGTGATTCTTTTTTTTTCTTTTTCCTTTTTCATTAGAATGAAAATTCGTGTGGAATCGAAGACAAATTCTAAATTCCTCTAGTTCCAAGAGAGAAAGAACTCTATATAATACTTTCAAACACTCTGTTCTCTCATCCAGTATCCACGCAGCCTTCATCGAACAATCTCCACGAACAATTCTATCCTTTTTCTTTCTTTTTTTTTTTTTGAACGAACGAAAACGAAGAAGAAAAAAAAAAATATTCAATTAGAAGTGGATTTCAAAGTAACTGGACTGGAAACCGCGCGCGAGAGGAGAGAGAGAGAGAGTCGGGAGGTGGAAGGATTACGAGCCTGCGGATCCGTCAGCCTGTTAACCGAGCCGACTATTATCCAACCGATTCGATGACGGTTTAAGCACGGTCATTTCTCTTTCCGCTCGCGCACCAAGCGAGCAACAATGACCCATCCCGCATTCTCGCGGCATAGAAGTAAGCGCGACCGTGCCGGCCGCGTCCACGGGAAAAATGAAAGCGGCTAGTTTATGCGGTGCACGTGCACGATTTATCTGCCGAGTAATTAAACTGTGGACTAATTAAAATCAGGTTTCTGATGTACCCCTCCCTCGCGGCACTCTCACCCTCCTCCCCACCCCTTCCACCGTCCTCTGCCTCCCCCCTCCCACATCCTCCAGCCTCTTACCCGCGATTCCTGTCCTGTTTTTCTTTCTTTCTTTCTTTCTTTCTCGCTCGCCTCGTCTCACCTTCTTCTTCACTGTTTACTTACGCGATCGCGTAAATGCCAACACTCTACTGGCACACCTATGCTAGAATCTCGAGAAAATCGTTTCTCGTCTATTTCTTTTCGTCCACTTTTTTCTTTTTTTTTCTTTTAATTTATAATTAACGTCGCATCTACCTTCTGGTCATTAGCGTACTGTTTCCTGTTCTTTTCAAGACGATTATATCTTATGATAGATGTTAGTTTCTTTTAGATAATTCAGGACATTTCCTATGTGTTTCTGTGACGTCAGGGCCGGCGAAGTTAGTTTGTATTTTTGCCTTTGAGCGTGGTACTTGCTGCATTCAAATAGAAGATGATGGGTCGATAAAATTGGATACACATTGGGGGTTCTGTTTTTTTTAAATAGATACTCGTGCGTGAGTTTGTCAGTGTATTGTTCTAAGCCTTGTCATGACTATTCTGCCTTTTCTTTTCATGTGGGTAGGCATTGCTTGATAGAAATCTTGGGTTATATTATGAGCTTTTGTTTTTTTGGAGGTATTCCATATTTTGTTTCATGATTGTCTCTCGGCATGGTGTAATATTACAAGGTCTTGATAAGGAATTCGTCTTCGGATGACATTCGACGAGGGCGATGTTGCTTCTTTGGTTGCTATGTCAGCTTCCTCGTTACCTTTGATTCTCAGGCGATGATTATGTCTCGTCCACTTTTATTTTCCAATGGGCTACAGCTGTTTCTCGTTTTTCTGCCTTGCTGCTTTCTTCCGTTCTTTTTCTTTTTTCTTTGGTTGATAGTTTGATATCATTGAATGGCAACACCACAAGGAAAATTCAACTGTGAAAGTGAAAGTCGGGATATTTTGCGGGAAAGTGTACCGTACGTACATACGCGAGAGTCAGGCGAGAGTAAGGAGCGTTCTAATAAATATTCGATTAGCTGATTTACTCCACCGGACAGGCGGATTTGAAAGGGACGAGGATCAAGCCACCCCCGCGGTGACTAAGCACGTTTTCAACGTTTGTCTGATAGCGCGCATTGTCTTGGTCTCGTGATTCATATTTAAAACAAAACAAAACAAACAAAA